GCCGGACTGGCGTGACTTCCTCCAAGACGATCAGGACATCTGAGTTTTGCAAGTCTTCCTGCCCGCGGTGCTTCTCAGCCTGCGGTCTGCCGCTCTCCAGCTGCGGTCTCGAGCAGTAGTGTTCGAAAGCATGCGAGTTCCTGCGGTGCTTCTCAGCCTGCAGGTTTCGCAGCTTGCGCTCTGCAGTACAAGTGCTTTTCAGCATGCGACATCCTGCGGTGCTTCTCAGCCTGCAGGGTTCCCAACGTGCGGTTTGCAATGCATTCCTTTTCAGTGTGCGAGTTCCTGCGGTGTTTCTCAGGCTGCAGGGCTCCGAGGCTCTTCGCTTCGATGCCAATGTTTTCAGACACCGTAGCTCCGTTCCGTAAACATCTTCCAAGAACCGCTCGCAACCTTTTGCAGCTGGCGGTCTGCAGACGTAGTCTGTCTCAGCATGCGAGCTCCCGCACGCTTCGCCGGCTTTTGCTGCGCAGACAATTTTCTCACACACGTCAGCGCCGTTTGTAGGCGTCAGAAAAACATGTAGACATTCACGAAGGGCTTAGTCTGTATATCGTCACATCATTACATACGCACTCGTCGAACACATCGGTGTACATTCAGCGCTTTGTCCTTCTACAGCATTCTTTCCGTTGATAACAGTGTTCTGATGGGTTCGCTTCGTTCTAAAAGCGTTGATAGCAGTGTCTCGTTTGCGGACAACTCTTTCTATATCAACTCACTGATACCGAGTTTCCTTTCACCATAAGTGAATGCATACCAGTGTATGTTGGTTACTACAAAAGTGGGTTCCTACAACCGACTTCATGATCGCTATCATCATCGCAGATTTCACTCATCCTCATCACCACGACTGTTTCACGTTGGCCTGCGGTGCTTCTCAGCCTGCAGTTCCTTTCGTTACACTGTAGTTGAAGCCGTTCATGGCAGTGACTCGTTTAAAGACAACTTTAGTATTGGGGGAAGTGTCGATAGCAGCGTTTCTTTTTACTTATACAAGCGTTGATAGCAGTGTCTCGTTTGTGGACAACTCATTATATATCAACTCATTCATACAGAGTTTCTTTTCGCAGCAAATGAATGCACAGCAGTGTATCTGCATTACTGGCCCCCACTCCATTACCACTATCATCATCAACGATTTCCTACACGCGTGTGCGCGGCGGTCGCCATGAGTGAATAGTTTGCAGAGACTTCTCGCATTGATAGCCATGGGTCACTTCAGAGTGAACTCATTTGTGATCTTCTTTTATTGGAAGTTGATTCGGTTGATGGCAGTGCCTCGTTTAAACTCCACTTTGGTATTGCTAGTAGTGTCAATGCCAGCGTTTCTTTTTAATTGTGCAAGCGTTGATAGCAGTGTCTCGTTTGTGGTTAGTTATAACAGCGTTGACAGCAGTGTCTCGTGTGCGGACCCCTCATTGTACATCAACTCGCTGATACCGGGTTTCCTATCAACACCATCATCATCATCCTTAACCTCCTCGTAGCCATTTTGCTTAGAGCTGTAGCCACATGTTTGCTCGAGTTTCACCTGGCCGTCCAGCCTCGGCGGTGCTCCTCAGCCTGCCTTGTCACAATGCCAGCGCGCGGCAAGGCATCGCCCCCGCCACCCCCGGCCCCGTGCGATGGCCCCGTTTGGGGGGAAAAAAAAAAAAAAAAAAAAAAAAAAAAAAAGTAAAAAAAAAAATTTTGTTTTTTTTTTTTTTTTTTTTTTTTTTTTTTTCCCCCTTTGGGGGGGGGCCCCGGGATGCACGCCGCGCACCGACTCCTCAGCCAGGTGTCGACGTGGTCTTTGAGCAAGCTCACCTCGAAGACATCCGCCGTACACCAGGGATGGGCGGCAAGACCGCCTGCCATTGGCAGCGCGCGCTGCGCGCCGAGTGCATTGTCAACAACTTGTCGTTCAAAGACGTAACAAACGACCCGTCCTACGACTGGAAGCAACTGCTTCGGTCTGCCGCTCCGGGTTTCGCTGAGCGCATAATCGGGCAGGGCATCGCCCAGGTTCTCTTTCGCATCATCGAGACAGATCGCGACCCTAACTACTCCAACACGGATGGCCACGGCAGGCACTTCTTCGAGTTCCGTCGTGCAGACGGTTCAGCCATGCGCCTGCATTACCATAAGAACGGCCGACCCGATGAGCCCACCTATGTCGGTCCACCACGCGCCGTTGCTCAGCCTGCCGTGCCTGAGCCTGGCGCTGCTCAGCCTCATGTTCCTCGTGGCGTCGCTGCTCAGACTGCCGTGCCTGACGGTGGCGCTGCTCAGCCTGCCGAGACTGGCGGTGATGCCCCACTGCTCTTCACACAGGAGCACCTGCAAGAGGCAGCCTGCTCGCGCCAGATGGTGGGCCGCGACGAAGCCAGCGCCGCTCTCCAATCGCTGTTGCACTACCACCATGGCGAGACTGCCCCAGGTGCTGTTGACATCACCGATGGCTCAGCATTTTACTGGCTTCGATGGGTGGCACATATCGAAGATGCGCGCGACGTCATCCGCAATGGCGTCCACAGGGTCTACGCTGTCCGCTGGAATCCGCACTGGGCTCCAGAGGCCGTCTTCTGCTACGGCAACAACACCTACAGCACACTGGTGCCCCGCAAGTCGCGCTACACAGGCTCGTGGAGCCACGCGCGAATTGTGACTCACCGGAACGCCAATTGGGTGACCGAACCGTTGCTATCTGCGGCCCCTGTGGCAGCTACGCCGTGGCTGGTGTTGCGGGATCAAATAACCTGTGAGTGATCTCTGGCAAACGAGATGTGGTGCTTCTCAGCCTGCACTCATGTGACACGCAATGCCGTGCCCTGCAATCGCGTGGTGTTTCTCAGCCTGCACTCGCAGGTCCTTCGGAGGTCAATTGTTATGAGTTCGGCACGGTCTCGGTCAAGTACAGCGTGCTGTGGGGATCCCGAGATGGGGCCTGGCTCAAGGTGCTCAAGACGTACTGGGGTGTCCCAGAGCCGGAGTGCCAGCTGATCCTCGGGAGTTGGAACGGCATTTTCAGGCCGTGGCCGGACGCGTTCTGGATCAGGACGGGGGGGTCCGAGCCCGAGATAGATGCTAGCGCTCTGCAGTACAAGTGCTTTTCAGCATGCGACATCCTGCGGTGCTTCTCAGCCTGCAGGGTTCGCAGCGTGCGTTTTGCAATGCATTCCTTTTCAGTATGCGAGTTCCTGCGGTGTTTCTCAGGTTGCAGGGCTCCGAGGCTCTTCCCTTCGATGCCAATGTTTTCAGACACCGTATCTCCGTTCCGTAAACATCTTCCAAGAGCCGCTCGCAACTTTTTGCAGCTGGCGGTCTGCAGACGTAGTCTGTCTCAGCATGCGAGCTCCCGCACGCTTCGCCGGCTTTTGCTGCGCGGACAATTTTCTCACACACGTCAGCGCCGTTTGTAGGCGTCAGAAAAAACATGTAGACATTCACGAAGGGCTCAGTCTGTATATCGTCACATCATTACATACGCAGTCGTCGAACACATCGGTGTACATTCAGCGCTTTGTCCTTCTAGCTGGTCGCTTCGTGCTGAGGCTGAGGCTGATGCAGGCTGAGGCTGAGGCAGGCTGAGGCTGAGGCCGAGGCCGACGGCAGACTGAGGCTGAGGCTGAAGCAGGCTGAGGCTCAGGCAGAGGCAGGCTGAGGCTGAGGCTGAGGCTGAGGCAGGCTGATGCTGAGGCAGGCTGAGGCTGAGGCTGAGGCTGATGCAGGCTGAGGCTGAGGCAGGCTGAGGCTGAGGCCGAGGCCGAAGGCAGACTGATGCTGAGGCTAAAGCAGGCTGAGGCTGAGGCTGAGGCAGGCTGAGGCTGAGGCAGGCGGAGGCTGAGGCTGAGGCAGGCTGAGGCTAAGGCTGTGACTGCGACTGCCGTTGCCACTGCGACTGTCCTCGCGAATGCGACAACGACTGCGAGAACAGCAGAATTCTACAACTGGATTCTCATCCGAATCTTAAGGGGAATGCTTCCAGATATGCTCCTACACATGGCTGTTAGGTTGCTTTGCCGGGATAATTTTTGTAAAGAAACGAATGTGCGCGGCGCTAGGGCGAGGGCCACATTTTGAAAAGGAGCCGCCCTCCATCCGCGAAGCTCTTGCACTTTTAAAATCGAATGTGCGCGGCGCTAAGACGAGAACCACATATTGAACACCACCCGCTCTCAATCCGTGAAGCTCTTGCAAGTTAAAAAAAAAAACGAATGTGCGCGGCGCCATTGCGAGAGCCACATATTGAAAACCACCCGCCCTCCATCTGTGAAACAGTTGCCACTTGTTCGGCTTCAGGGCCATACGTGGTGAAGATGTCTCAGGCGACAAGGAGAAGTTATGTATAAGGAAAAGGAACGGGTGATAATGATTGTATACACTTCTCGATTTGTGCGTGTCATCCTTGCGCAAGGGCCATGCTAATCTTCTCTGTATCGTTCCAATTTTAACGGATGATCCCCGAAGGGAATCCAAGGAACGGGTGATGATGATGAGGAGGAGGAGGAGGACGAGGAGGAGGGACGAGGAGAAGAGGACGATGATGAGAAGGAGGTGTGAAGAAGAGGGTCAGGGGGAGGAATGCAGTCAGCATCGGACATCAAGGCGCGAAGACGCGTCTCGGGCACACGGGAAATGCCGGGCGGCACCCAGAGATCGTGCCAAGGATGCCGGGAGCCGAGGGATGCAAAGTTCCCCTGCTTCCTGTGCTCACCGGCACCCTCTCCTCCACCATCGTACGCTTTCTCGTGATGTGTGCCTCAAAATGGAGATCTCGACCCCTTCCCCGCGGCCAACTGCTCATCCTGAATTGTTTGTGCGGCCCCGGGCCGGGAAACGGCTACCCGAGGCCAAGAACACGGAACCACCGGCCGCCACTTTCTTTGTGAGCTCTGCCTGTTTGATAGTTTGGCTTGCCTGTTGTTTGTTGTTTTGTTGCTGCGTCGAGTGTCAGGGCATGGCTGATGTCCACTGCAGGTGGTGGTGCAGGAGACGACTGGGGGGGAGGACAGGGCCTGCATGTGCCGCTCCAAGCGCTGCTGGGCCTGCTCGACGTCGCCCTTGCGAGCGGTCAGCTGCTCCACCGCGGCGCGCACGCCCTCCTGCGGGGAGGGGGAGGGACCACCCCCGACGACGGCGCGCAGTCGAAACGGGGCAACGAGAGCGCGGACTAAGGACACGAGCCCCTTCGCCCAGAGCCCAAGGCCCCACGGAGATGCGCCAAGAGCGGAGGCCGCTCGCACGTGGAGAGAGCCCAGGCACGAAGCGCACATCGGGGTACCCCTCCAGAGCTGGGGCTGCTCTCCCAGACATGCGGCGCCCTGACTTCTTCAGTGCGGGGTCCCTGGAAGTCCCGACCGTTGCCCCGGGACCGCTTTTTCATCCTGAGTCCTTCTTTGACGGTCCCGAGGCCCGGCGAGGGCCCCCCCCCCCCGAGGCCGAACACTGGCAAGAACCTCCCGTCTTGATTTTTCTTTCGACGCGGTCATGTCTGGGCTTCGGCCCTGCTCTGGCCGCATCCGCCGCACGCCGCGCGCCGCGCGCCGCGCGCGAGGCTGTGCACGCCGCGCGCTGCACTCTGCACCCCTGCGCGCCGCACCGCCGATGTGCTGCTCACAGGGCGGCCCAGCGGCGCGTTGAGGGGAGGCGAGGCGATCTCGGGCGCGATCCTTCGAGATAAGGCTGGAGTTGGGTCGGGCACGTCCCCCTACAGGCGGATTTTGGACGAAGAATGGAACAATACGCAAAAAAGGCTCCCAAATGGTCAAACATGATCTAAAGATCGTCCCCAGACTATTTTTGAGTACTTGTGAACATTCCTCATGTAGAGGGACAGGCCCGACTTAAGGCTGGAGGGGGCCTCTCGCCCCTGTCGCGCCGCCGCAGGGGGTACTACGAAACTCTGAGGGCTGGGGGGCGGAGAGCTGCGACATCTGCTGCGCGCAGCTGGCGTCGGCCCCGCCGCCCGGCGCTTTCCTCGAGACACTGCCCGCCGCCCGGGCGATTCCCTCGATGCATTGGTGCCTCTGGCGCTGGGGAAGGTGGACCAGCTCGCATGTGCAAGTGCTCGAGTATCTGGGTCTGTGCAGTCGTCGTGCTGCCAGGGGGCGCATGGGCGCTCTCGTGGCCCCTGCCAGCCTGGGCCACGCACTTGCTGCCCGACCTAGTTCTCAGGAGCGGCCCGCAAGACCAGAGCCCCCGCGGAACCCGGTCGTGGTCCTTCTTTCAGCGTCTGGACCATGCGGTCGGGACCTTTTGCCCAGCGTGTCGCGGCGGCGGCCCCAGCGATACGCTTGGCCCTGCGAGCGGCTAGCGTGCCGCTCCGCTCCGGGGAATTGGGAGGCTCGGAAAGGCTCGGGACGTTGAAGCCTGGGGACTGGGAAGTGGGCGGCGTGTTGGGCCTAACAAGTGGCACGCGTGCCCTGGCTCTTGCACCAAGGAGCTGCGAGGGACAGGAGGCTTTCGCCTCCTTCCTCCAGGAGTTTCCTTCTGTGGCCGGGGGGGGCAGGACGAACAACGAACGAACGAACGAACGAACGACGACGACGAACGAGAATAAAGAGGTCCGAACTCTGGAGCACAGCAGTGCAAGAGAACAAAAACTGGGAGTCCACCTTCCGCCCGCCTCGGCCGCGGCGGGCGGGCGCGCGGTGCGGCGGGCGCGGACTGCGGGGCGCGTCGCGCCGGGTGCGGAGCGGGCCGCGGGGAGACGACGACGCGACTCGACAAGACGAGTCCGCACCGCGGAGCCACACATCGGCCACGCACCCACGGGGATGATGCAAGAGCGCTCGGCCCCACTCACGCAAACAGTGGTCGCTTTCTGCCCCGCATTCTCCTCGAGGGCACCGTTCTCTGCGGCGAGCACCCCCTGCGCCGCCTCCAGCGCCTTAGATACTGCACCCTCCAGATCGGCAACCATGCCGCGGACGAGCTCCAGACGCTCCTCGGCGGGCATGTCGGCCTCCTCCTCGCGACCCTTCGGGAGCAGCCGCACGTCCCGCTGCAGCCGCTCGTCGTGCGGCACCTTCCAGCCCCCCGAGGGCGGGGTCCGCGAGTGCTGCGCGGAGAAGCCGTAGACGTCTGCGCCGCCCACCTTCTCGCCGAGCCACCAGCCGCTGGCGCTCTCGCCGTCGCGGTCGTCCCAGTAGTAGAGCCACACCGGCCCGCTCCCGCCGGGCCGGAAGAACGTCCTCCTCCCATGGTTGCTGCCTGACGGCGCGCGCGAGCGGGGGGGGGGCGTGGCTGGGGGGCGCGGGGCCCCCCCTCCGAGGAGGGGCCCTGCCCCTTCTCGGGAGGGCCTTCCCCCGGAGCCCCCTGTCGGAGGGCGGGAGGCGCCGAAGAGGCGTGGCGCGTTCTGCGAAGGCCCCCCCCCGACCCAAATCCGCTCCAACAGGGCCTCCGGCCCTCCTGGCAAGTTTTCGAGCTGCCCGACGGCGAAGTTTCTGTCGCGACGCGGGCCCCCAAGGATCTGGCCTCCTCCCGGGGCGGCCCGCGTCCATCCCGCGCCGATTTTGGCCTCGCTCCGGGGCTGGGGGGCGGCCCCACCGAGGCCGAGAACAGACACAAAACAAAGACGGCCGTCGCAACGTGTTGGCGACGCCCAGCTCTGAGCGTGCGTCCGGCCGCGGCCACGAGGGCGCCTCGCGGCGCCTCGGAAGGCGCGGCCCAGGAGACGCCCCGCCAGAATGCCCACGGTTCCCTTTTGGTGCGCCGCCGAGCTGCCCTGCGCCGTGTACTCTCCCAGCAGGGCCTGGGTCTTCTGCGGCGCCGAGTCGCCCAGCCTGGGCTGCCAAGGCTTGGGGCTGCGTGCAGGACAGTCCCCCGAGGGTAGTCCTGGCTGGCTGGCTGGCTTCGCCCCTGGCCCCCGCTCAGAAGGGATGTCCCCAGTCATCCGACGCGTTGCTTTTTCAATACGGGGTCCCCAGAAGTCCTGGATCCTTTCCCCAAGGCCGGCTTTTCCTCCCGAGCCGTTTTCTAACGGTCCCAGCGCTGGTAAGGGCCCCACAGATGACGAAAACGGCCCAAAACCGCCGTCTTGACCCTGAGGCCCAAAGTGGCTCACCATTCGGGACCTTTTGGGTTCTCCTGGGACGCTCTCGGCGAGGCGTAGCTGCTGGCAAACTCCCCGAGGTGAGAGAGCCTCGGGGCGAAAACCTCCCTCTGCCCTCCTGAAATGCGATGTCGGGAAAAATTGGGACATCGCGTTAGGTCGGGCTGGTCCCCCTACAGGGAGATTTTTGACGACAAATAAAAAATACTTAGATGAAATACCCCGAACGAATAGTCAAAACATATTCAAAAGTCGTCCCCAGACTACTTTTTTGACTATTTTTGAATGTTCCTCCTGTAGAGGGACACGCCCGACTTAAACATCGCGAGACATTGCGACCAGAGCCCTGGATCCCATCCTTCTGCGGCATTCCTCGAGATCCGTCAGGCCCCCGGGGTCTGGAGCTGGGCGCGCACGCCCGTTGTGAGCAGACTGCGGCGCCCAGATCTCAGGGCCCCCGCCAAGCGGGTCTGCGCGCAACGCCAGGCCCCGCCATTCGAGGCCCCCCAAAGCCGTGTGGCGACGGACCGCGTGGTGACCTCCGAACCCCCAGCGACCTCACCGCGCGCTCCGTCACCGCACGGCCTGGGGACCTCGGCGGCGCCAGGTCGCTCGGGGCGTCCTCGGAGCACGCCCCGAGCCCCGAGACCGGGGCTCCCGGCTCCTCACCGACTCCCCGCGCATATGGGGGCCACGTGCGAACCCTACCCCCGCCCCCTCCGATTTCTGCGGGGGAGGGTGGGGTTCCCTTCGCTCGGGAGCTCCCGAGCGACGTGAACCTCCCCCTCCCCCTCAGAAATCCCGAGCGAAGTGAACCCCACCCTCCCCTCAGAAATCGTGGGGGGCAGGGCTAGGGCTCGCATGTGGCCCCCTAGGCGGCGCAGCGTTGGGCTAGGGCTCGCATGTGGCACCCTAGGGGGAGGGTGGGGTTCACTTCGCTCGGGAGCTCCCGAGCGAAGTGACCCCCCCCTCCCCCTCAGAAATCGTGGGGGGTAGGGGTAGGGTTCGCATGTGGCCCCCTAGCTCGGCTACGCGTAAGAGTGACCCTGGGTAAGAATGACCTTTGGTGCGCGGCTTCTGGGGGGCCGCGGGGGGGCCAAATCCAGGCGCGCTGGCCGCTGCTACTGCTCCGCGACCGGCCATCTGGGGGCCCATCTGTGCCCGCACCAAAGGCCACTCCGGCGAAAGGTCACTCTTACGTCTAGTCGACTAGCGCAGCGTTGGGCCCCGCCGGGCCTGGACGAGAGCAGCTCAGGTAGCTGATTTTCCCGGCGCCTCCCGGCGCCGGAGGCGGCTATGTGTCGAGGAATGGGCCCCTCGGTGAGGCCGAAACCAGCTGCATGCAGCCAATTTCGTAACCCCCCCATTCCCAACTCCCCCCCTTTTCGTGCGGCCCGATTTTAGGGGGCCCCCTATGCGCGGCGCTGGGCCCCGCCGGGCCTGGACGAGAGCACGTACGCCTCCGCCTCCGGGGCCGGCCGCCGCTTCGCGGAGCGAGGCGGGGGCGCCCCGCGGGCGGGGCGCTTCGCCGCGCCGCCGGCCTCGGCCGCCGCGGCCCCGCCCGCCCGCGGCGCCGCCTCCTCGGAGCGCGCGGCCCGCGGGGGGGGCCGCGCCGCAGAAGGGGCCCCATAACGTGGGATGGCGACGCATCGGCGGCGAGCCCAGGGGGCATAGGGCAGAGGGGGCGGGCCTTCCAGCAGAGGAGGAGGAGGAGGAGGAGGAGGAGGAGGAGGAGGAGGAGGAGGAGGAGGAGGAGGAGGAGGAGGCGGAGGAGGGGACATGGCGCGGGTGCCAATTCGTGCTCTCTGTCCCTTTGAGGGGGCGGCAAGGAGCCATGCTCAATTCGAATTTCTGGTGGACAGACAATTCAGAAGGCTCAACTGGCCTCGGGCCTTCCGAGAAGCCCCGCCGCCTTCTGAGACGGCCCGTCCTCCTCACTGCCCCCCCCCCGGGCGCGCCGCCGACTGACGCGGGATGAGGAGCAAGAACAAAACAACGGGTCAACGATTGAACAAACAAACAAACAGGAATCTACCGCTGGGAATTGGTTTGTGAAGAGGGCGATCGGAGAGTCCCAATCACGACGACACCCACGACCAGGCCTGGATTCTCATGCATTCATGGCCGCTCACGGCGCAGCTGCGTGACGGCCTCCCCTTGACATGCCATAACCGTCGGCAAGAGGGACCTTCGGAGCGCGGCTCCCCCCACCTCATCGCGTCGTGACGAACAATCACGAAGACCTTGCTTTGACCACGTTCGGCCCCTGAGGAGGAGGAGGAGGAGGAGGAGGAGGAGGAGGAGGAGGAGGAGGAGGAGGAGAATGAGGAGGAGGAGGAGGAGGAGGAGGAGGAGGAGGAGGAGGAGGAGGAGAGGAGGAGGAGGAGGAGGAGTCGAGACCTCTGGGGGTCTCACGTTGTGAACAGACAGCCAAAATGCCGGAGGTCTGGGCTTGCCGACGGCGGAGGCCTGCGTGCTCGGGCCCGGCCCCCCCGCGCCCCCCCCGTCGAACGCCGGGCACCAGAGGCCGCTCCGGCGGAGGGGCGCTGCTGCGCGCAGGCGGGGAGGGCCCAGGAGACGACCCCCGAAGACCTCCTCGCGTCGTGCGCCAAATCGTGGCGGAAGGTCCCTGTCTGGGCCGTTTTTGGCCCGTGGATGCCGATTCGTGGCCTCCCCGGGGCGGTGAACAAGTTCGACTTCGGGACTCAGGACGACGCCTCGGTCCCCAGACATGGGTCAATGTACCCTGGGGCCCGCGTCGCGAAAACACGCATCGTCGGAGGAGAGGGTGCGAGAGCATCCGAACGACGCACACTCGCGGGGGCCGCTTTCGGGCTCTGGGGCCATCCAGAGACGACTTGAGGATGAAACCTGGGCCCTGGAGGAAGGGTCGGGACTTCCGGGGATCTCGTGTTGAACAGGTCAAGGCTTCGGAGGTAGAGGTGGCAGGCAGACGACAACCTCGGGCAGAGATCGCTCGGAAAGCCCTCAGAGCCCGCGGGTCTGGGCGACGTCTCGGGCGCCGCGACCCATCCAAGGCGCTGCGAGAGCGTGGTCGAGCTGGGTGGAACCCACAGCTCCAAGATGCCAGCCCCTAGGCCTCCAAGAGGCCCCCAGGAAGCCCGCCCAACAGACGCGCAGGAAGAGAAAAACGAATCAGGGCCAGCTGCACGCAGGCAGCACGTCGGGAAGTGTCAATCAGCACATGCGAAGTCGGAAGCCGCACATCGCTTCTTCTGAAGGTCGGCGGAATAGCGTAACACTGCTGAATAACTAATCGAACACAAGGTCCAGGAGGAAAAGGGTCCTGGACCCTCTGGCCTCCTCCCGGACCAGGCCTTCATCCTGAGGTCCCCGGGAAGCCCCGAAGACGGGGGAAAACCTCCAGGACCCGCTTCCTCGAGGTCTTGTCTTCGTCATGCTGAGATCGGGAGCGGCCAAGAGGGGGGTGTCCAAGAGGGGGGGTGCAAATCATGACCGGCGGCATGTGCGCGGCCCAGCGGGGGGGCCAGGGACGTACTGAAATAAGAAGAGGCGCCATGAAATCTGGGGAAATATCATGACCCCCGCCATGATATCCCCCCCCCATAATCATCCCCCCCCTCTTTTCCGCCCCCGATGAGAGAGCTCCTCAGGCTGGCCCCCTGGGGCGCCCGGCGCCGCCTGGTCCTTCAGGAAATCTCGCAGGACGCAACCGTATCTGCCTCGCAGACTCTGGCTGGGCCGATCCGGGGCACAGGATCGGCTTCTGCGCCCTCGGACCGGCCGATCCTGGGCCCGGGATCGACCTTCGAGGCAGGGTGTGCGAAGTGCAGAAGGGGCCCAGACCAAGACGGCGTGCTTTTCCCAACCGTCCTGTGGTCTTGGGCCCTCGCTCTGAAGAGACAGCGCCCCGCAGTCCTCCTCTTTTCTCCTCTCCACTCCTCCTCCCCTCCTCCTCCCGCTCCTCCGTCCTCCTCACCCCCATGTCGGCACACCCCTCATACGTTTTGTGGCCCCATGTGGAGCTTCGCCGAAGGCCACAGTGGCTGCGTTCGCACGCGGTTCCATCCTCATTTCGGCACACCCCTTACACGTTTCGTGGCCCCACAGAGAGCTCCACCGATGGCCCCAGTGGCTGCGTTCGCATGCGGTTCCACCCCAATATCGGCACACCCCTCAAACGTTGTGGCCCCATAGGGAGCTCCACCGAAAGCTCCAGCGGCTGCGTTCGCATACGGTTGCACTCCCATGTCGGCACACCCCATCATATGTGTGTGTGTGGCCCCATAGGGAGCTCCGCCGAAGGCCACAGTGGCTGCGTTCGCATGCGGCTCCACCCCCATTTCGGCACACCCCTCACATGTTTCGTGGCCCCATAGGGAGCTCCGCCGAAGGCCGCAGTGGCTGCGTTGGCACGCGGTTCCGCCGCATTTCGGCACACCCCTTGCACGCTTCGCAGCTCCATAGGGAGCTCCACCGAAGGCCCCAGCGGCTGCGTTCGCATGCGGCTAGGGAGCTCCACCGGAGGAAATAATCACAACTGCGGTAATTTCTCGCAGCTGGGACCGTTTCCTCATCCCGAGTCGTCTATTCACCGTCCCGAGGCCTGGGGTACGGGCCCCCAGGCGCAGATAATAATCACTCACTGCCTGGAGCTCTCCATATGTGCATCTATTAGCATGGACCTGTCCGCCGTGAGTGTCTAGGCGCAAGAGCTTTCGAATAGAAGCGGGCTTGAGTATTGACTGGGAGTAAATCTAAATGTGAATGAGTTGGAGTGTGAATGAGTCTCAGTAGTATTAGTGCGTCTCTGCGCATGAGCCTGGGGCCTCCTGGGGCCTCTTGAAACCTCCTGGGGCTTCCTGGGGTCTCCTGGGGCTTCCTGTGGCGTCTTGGGGCTTCCTGTGGCCTCCTGAAGACTCCTTGGACCTCGCGTGGCCTCCTGGGGCCTCCAGGAGCCTCCCGGATCCTCATGGGGCCTCCAGGGGAGGATTCGTGCCCCAGGAGAGGCCCAATATATAGGAAAATATGTAAAACACTTCGGATTGAAGCCGCAGGAGAGGGGCAATCTATAGGAGCACGCGTAAAACACCAAGGACTCGTGCCCCAGGGGAGGCCCAATCTATAGGACCCGATGTAAAACACTGAGGAGTGGATACGCAAGAGAAGGACACTTTATAGAAACATACGTAAACACAAAGGATTCGCACTCCAGGGGGGCCCAATCTATAGAAACATATGTAACACGCCGGGGGTTGGAGCCATTCCTGTGGCCTTCTGAGGCCTCCTGCTCCTGGGGTCTCCTGGTGTCTCCTGGCGTTTCCTGTGGCCTTCTGTGGCCTCCTGTCGCCTTGGGCCTCCTGGTGCTTCCTGGGGCCTTCTAGAGCCTCTTGGGGCCTCCTGTGGCCTCCTGGTGCCTCCTGCCTGCTGGAGCTTCCTGTGGCATCCTGAAAGCCTCCTGGAGCATGCTTGAGCCTCCTGGAGCATGCTGGAATCTGCTCCGAAAGCGGATGATGTTGGGGGCACAGACAGGCGAACTACTCGAGACATCCCCACCATTTTGGCGCGAACGGAGGAGTTAGATACCTCCTGGTGGCTGCCCCTTGGGGGTGCTGAAACCCGCGCCTCGCTCGAGGCATCCTCAGAATCTGCTCCGCCATCATCATCATCATCATCATCATCATCATCATCATCATCATCATCATCATCATCATCATCATCGTCATCGTCATCGTCATCGTCATCGTCATCATCATCCGCATCCCCATTCCCATCCCCATCAGCATCATCATCACCATCATCGTCATCATACTCATAATAATAATCAGCATCATCAGCATCATCATCACCATCAGCATCATCAGTATTGTCATGATTGCCACCACCATCATCACCACCATCAGCATCAGCATCAGCATCAGCATCAGCATCAGCATCAGCATCAGCATCAGCATCATCATCATCATCATCATCATCATCATCATCATCATCATTATAAGCATCATCATCATCATCATCATCATCATCATCATCATCAGCACCATCATCACCATTATCATCACAACCACCATCATCATCGCCATCATCATCATCATCATCATCATCATCATCATCATCATCATCATCATCATCATCATCATCATGATCATCATCATCATCATCATCATCATCATCATCATCATCATCATTATCATCATCATAGCATAGTGTAACCAAACATAACATGCCATACTATACCATAACGCATATTTTTCGTGCGAGAGAGAGAGAGAGAGAGAGAGAGAGAGAGAGAGAGAGTCAGAGCATGAGTGATGTGCGAGTCTGAGCGATGAGCGAGGTGTGGGTGTGACTGTCCTTCCGGCGCGGTGAAAGTAATAAGAAGAACCTCATCTCAGGATCTGGGGAACAAGCAAGCTGCTGCCGTGTTTGCTTTCACGACGCGAACAGGTATGGGCAAATCCAGTAAGGCTCCGGGTTGCACGCAGACGGCCCCCCCAAAGAACTCCCGGCTGGACTCAACAGCCCCCCCCCCTGGTAGTCCAGGGTAGTCTCGGTACCTCAACCTT